GGGGGGGGGGTCATGTTCTTCCACAAAACGCTCATCCTTCTTTCGGCATTATTTCATATTTTTTTCAGTCTGCTGTGGCCAAGATTCAGGGCCAGGCTGAGAGAATCAACGAGCTAAAGGTCAAGACTGTGGAATTGACAGAAGAGAACAATGATGATGATGTGAAGGAGGAAGTGGAGAACACGATGCAAGGTATGTCAGAGAGAGTAGATGATAATCACAGAGATGGAAAAAGGTGCCGTGGTGTCTCCATCTTCTAAGTTCCAAAGTAATTTGTGTTTGAATATCAGTTCTGGCAAAGAATCTGCAAATATATTATTATTTAGCCTGAATGCTTGTTGTAAACTCAGATTGTCACTAGATTCCTAGTGGGTGGATGGAGGGTGCTCCTTTTAGGTCATACTTCTTTACTCTCCCACCATTGTATCTCTCTGTGTGTCTTGCTCTTTCCCAGCACTTTCTTCTGTATTGACCATTGTATGCATAGGACACTTTGTACAAGAGGTAGTCTCTTTGTTCCTTCATTGATTAGTGTATATTCATTCATTCAATCATGTATTCATTCACTCATTCATTAATTCATTCATCTATTTATTGATTTACCCATTCATCTTTCATTCATTCATTCATTCATTCATTCAGTCATTCTTTCAATCACTCACTCATTTAATCACTCAATAACTCATTCATTCGTTCATTCTTTCATTCATTCATTCATTCATTCTCTTACCTGTCAAATTCCTTATCCATACATCTCTAAGTCATTCACTCACTAACCTGTCATGTTCCTTACCCCATACGTCTACAGGTCTGAGCCAGCAGCATGAAGAACTACTGAGCCTGTTCAAACAACATCAGAACAACTTGAGGGACTGTGCCGACTCGCGGAGAAAGTTTGAGGGAGACTATCAGAAAATCGAGCGCTGGTGTAGAGAGACGGGGGTACAGTGTGAAACGCCTGTGCCTGTGGAGTGCTCTCTGGATGTGCTGGAAGAGCAGCATAAAGTGTACAAGGTGAGGAACCGCTATTTTTGATCACTTTTAGTTGGGGGGTTTTTCGGGGGGGGGGGGGGTAAATGCAGTTGAACCTGCTTTACCTTTTTTTTGTACCATGGTCAAACAACGTAACAATGATATGGTGAGGAAAATGACAGGGATGTGTCAGTAGATGACCTCTTCCCACTTCCCTCTTTACATTTTTTTTGTATATTATAATGATACTATCTGAAAGGACTACCTGTCTAAGATGACCACTTTTCTCCTTCGACTGTATTTTTTCTTGTGTTTTGTATCTATACGAATATTGTTTTCATCTGTTGCTCTTTTGTGTTGTTATTTTTTTACTTTGGTCTTGGATGTGCTGGTGGTTTGATGTAATCTCAACTTGTTGCCTTTTTCATTGCTGCTGTTGTTGTTGTAGGTATTGTCTTTGCAGTTTCCATTGTTGTTCTTTTTTCCTGTTTGTCGTAATTGATCCTAGTGTTTAATTTTGTGGTGTAGCTTAATTTATTATTGTTATACTCTATTTCGATTCCTTTCAGAACCTGAACAACACTGCTCAGGTGTTTGAGTCTTTGCTGACCCAGACCAAAAAATTGGGGAAGAGTTATTTTCCTTCTCTGTGTGAACCAGACAAACCTGTGCTACAAGAACAACTGGATGCATTGGACACTTTGTATAAGAGGTAATCTTTTTGTCCCTTCATTGATTGATTGATTCATTCATTCATTCATTCATTCATCCATTCATTCATTCATTCACTCATTCATTCAGTTAGTCAACCATTTGTTCATTCTTTCCCTTATTTAAAGTATTCCGAATATCTCACTGATCAATGCTGAAGAAAATTGGGTGAAATCAGTTGAAATATCCAAGCTCTTTATAGTGACACTAAAATTAAGACTATCGCATGATGTGTCAGTCAAGGACATTTTATGAGATAAAATATTATTCTGTTGCTTTCAGCTGGGCCAAAAACTATATTATAACATTGATTTTGATATTAAAAAAGATAGGTTCTGATTTTATTGATAATCAACTCTCCATGAGACGTAGTATTTATTATTAATTACTGGGTTGGCTGGACTGAAATTGATTGTAGGTTACATGTGGCCTGTGGGACGTAGTTTCCCCACTCCTCTCTTACTCATTATTGTGTTTCCTTTTGTCCAGAGCCTCTGAGCAGGTTCAGGAACGACTCAACTCCCTGGAAATGGCCATAAAGTCACGTGGTCAGGTCCAAGAACAGATGACCGCTGCTGACCAGTGGATCAAGTCTATGCAAGATGAACTACGCCAGACAAGCAGTCTCATAGGTCACCAAGTTCAGGATGCGGAGCTCCTACTCAAAGTTTTTGAGGTGCATTTCATTTGTTTAGCCTGTTAGACCGAGAGTGAGAGTTTACTTTTTTATTTGATGGAAGAGTTGACTTTTAAGCTATTATTGGAAGTGTCAAGTGCTCTTGATATATGCTATTGGTTATAGTAAGAATTTTAATGTTTTCTTTTCTGTCAAAGTTATTCCCTTACTTAGTTTACACAAATATATTCCTTCTTATTGAGCATAGCTATACTTTGCTTTAATGGTTAAGTCATATGACAAAATGCTGCTACACTCAATGAGGGGGGATCAAATTATAACACCAAACTGCAGGTCTTTATTGCTTTAGGTAGCCTTTTCACTTTAACATCTTGAGTTAATCGTCTTACCATTCCCGAAAGTCAGGGGTTCTTTGGTCAACTTTTAAACTCCCCTCTCAACTTTTTCACCCAGAGCATTGAAGAAAAGCTGCGTGGTTTCCAGCCAACCATGTCAGAGCTGAACAACTGTGTGGAGCAGTTACGAAAGGATGGCCAACACACTGAGGCAGACAACATTGTGCGTCTATCAGATGCGTACGATTTGCTCACAGATCAGACACAGCAACGACAGGCAGTGTGTACAGCGGCGATCGCGGGGCGCCGGAACTTTGAGGAACACATGTGTGCACAAGAACTGTGTGTGAAGGAGTGTGAGGAGGAGCTTAGTGACATCAAAGAGCAGGGCTTGTCTGTGGCTGAGCGACTTGAGAAATATAAGGTCAGAATCCTCAGTGTTTGTGTGTGTTTGTATGTTTGTGTGTGTGTTGTGTGTGTGTATGTGTGTGTTTGTGTGTTGTACAGATTGAGTAAGTGGATTTTTGTGTACGTCTGTCTGTATGTTCTTATATGCAGAGAAGTGACAGTGTATGACAGGATTTTGTACTTTTGTCTTTTATTAATCTTTGTAATCATAAAACTGTTTCAAAGATTGTATTGTAATAACTTTAGTTTATTAAGATTCCAAACTTAATGAGTGAGATTTTTCTTATCTTTCGTCCAATTCATATCCAATCTATTTGTGAAAGAGCAAGCCTCGATCTTTTTATGATTCCAATTTCCCCTAATTTTGACCTATTTCAATTTGATTTTCATGCCAGCTTGAGATTATCTCAGTTTTAGTAGAAATTAAGATATTCTAGTAAAGAGACCAAATCCTGTGACCAGCATAAATGGACACCTAGATAGTGACTCCTTTCATAAAAAAACTTTGGCATTTTGGTGTTGATCATTGTACTTTTGTACGCCCATAACAGCGAGAAAATAGCACGGGGATGCGTAATTGATGTGGGTGAATATCGTTACTGTGAAAGAAGATGGTTCATGTATTTTTCAAGCTTCTTAAGAGCAAGGTCTTAATTAATTAAAAAACAGTGTAATATGCTTAAATATATATTTTCATTGCCTCTTTGATGTTGCAGAGTCTTTTAGAACAATTGCAAGAAGTGGAACCTGAGCTTACAGTTGCGCTGGACAGAGGTCAACAAATCGGCCAACAGGGGACAGAGGATGACCTTGCAGCTGTTACAGACAGGGTTCAGCAGCTGAGTGCTAAGGTGTGTGTCCTTCCTGAAGTCACTGACATTGTTGTATTCCCGCTTTCCTTGATAATAAACTTTAAAAGGAATGTGGACATTGTTGCTTATAGTAAGAATGAATTAGGTCATCTTACTGGCCACTGATATCAACATCTTATTTAAGTTCAACTGATAACTACTCGCCTCAATAGATATAGTTTGTAATTTTATCATAGCACATAGAATATTTTGAAATTAAGTGCTCATCTGGGTAGAACATGATAATATTCATGTAGTTTACTCATTTTCTAAACATCAAAATCCTTTTCTTACATGTTCCATGCATCATAAAGCACCATTGAAAATGTGTTTTTTTATTGTAGCCCTCCCGCAATTACCTCCCTTCTGCTCTATCTGTTGTTCTCCACATCAATGTTGTTCCTGTCAGTTCTTTCATGTCATCTTACCGCCTTCTTTCTGATCTTCTTCTTAATCATTTTCCTGTTCTTGGTCTCCATCCAGTGCATATTTTAGTCCTTCTGTTATCTTTCACCCACACGATGTGGCAAGCCCATTTTTTAAAATTAATTCAATTGTTTTATATTAGGTGAAAGAGTTGAAAGAAACCATAAAGACTCAGATAGGACAGTGTGAGACAATCCAGCGAGACAGGGAAGGCTTTGAGGTGGCTCTCTCCGAGCTGGTGGCCTGGTTTGAGGAGAAGGAGGACGTTCTGGCCACCTGTAAGACTTTACATCTAGACGCAAACAAAGTGTCACCCGTCATTGAGAAGCACAAGGTAAAATCTGGAATCTTTTTTGTGTGTGAGTTTGGGCGTGGGGATGGGGGGGGGGGTTAAATCTTTTTTTTTTTTCATTGTAAACGTTTTACACTCCTATCAACACAAAACAATGCAAATGAATTTTTTCATAAGTTCCTCAGAAACGCTGTGATGTATTTTTGCTGATATTTTGCCTGGTTAAGCTCCTTTTAGAACTGTAAAGCTTAGGCCTACTTATACAAAAAAGTTTACTTACGAAAGAAAAATTCAAATGTGAACAGATATCAGGACGGTTTTATCATAATCAAGGGGAAAGACTCACAGTTGATTTGTTCCTTTTACTGTTTTGACCTCTTTCTTCTTTTCCGTCAAACCCAGTTTATCTCTTCCCTTTGTTCTCAGCTAACTGTCTCTGAGGCACAGGCCAGGCTCGCAGCTACCAAGGACAAAGCCTCAGTGGAATGCCAACACTTCGAGGAGATCCAAGAACCGTTGCCCTCTGACCTCTCAGAGAAACTGGAACAGATCAAGACACTGGAGGAGTCTATCGGGGTGAGACATTGCTTGGTGGTTTTGTAAACCTAACCTAGTTTTTGTCAACCTGGGTAGTATCACCCACTAGTGTGCAACTTGATAATTTCAGTAGGCAGTGGCTATAAAGGAAGAGGAATGCTACTCAAAAGATGAATTAAGGGAGTCAAAGGAACCCTGAGAAACTATGACATCCCAATTGAAAGAGCTGCAGACTTAGCCTACCACAGAAAACTGCATCCCCCCTCGACGCTTAATTGCTACAGAGGATGAAAAAGTAAAAGTAAATGTAAAGTAGGGATCCCCAGGATAGTGACAGATATTATTTAATGCCCCGGTTGGAAATACATGCAGTAGGGTAGTGCAAAATGTTAACCTCTTAGAGGTGTCAAAAGTGGGCGCTGGCTGTAAAAAGATTCACAAGCACTGATTTAATCCCGTAGGAAGAGCATCATCAGTGTTGTAATGATACACCCATCACCTCATTTGCAAGAGACAAGAGTTTGGTTCCCAAATAAAGAATTTTATTTTATTGGGATCTCCTTCTTTCTCCTGGGATACTGTATCCAACTCGGCCTAGCTTGGCCCTGAGAGATGGGGGTCAAAGGAACATGTCTTCTGAATAATCTAAATTTTGTAGATGGGGATGAGGTCAACAACTGGTTCCATAAGGTACTGACACTTGCCGATTCATCTAATTAGATAATTTATACAAATAGGCGACAGTTTAACATGTGTCTGAGATGTCAGGATTTAATTTTTTAAAATGATGAAAGTTTACGATGAAAGGGAAAATAGCCATATGAATTTGTAAAAAGATATTTCATTGCAATGGCAGTGAATAACAAATGTGAGCTTTGCCCCTGAACAATCCTAGTTTGAATAAATAATAGGCCTACTGTAACTCTGATGAAATAGACATCTTCTTGTGAGAGTAGCTCAGCCTGAGACGCTCTTTGCTCAAACCTGGGTTTCTTTTCGTCAACTTTTACCCATACCCACAGGGAAATACGTTATCAACATAGTTTTTTTCATACTTGTGACTATTAATAAATTTGGCCAAATGAATACAGCTTTGTAGTAACTGAAAGTTCAGTACAGTAATGATACCAGGTTTTTTAATCTCATTTCGCGAAGTTGCAGGATGTGTGTTTGTTCCTGAATGAAAATACCAATGATGTGTAAAATAACCCTCTTCCATTTTTCCAACTGCAGGAGGCCACAGAGAAGAAAAAGCAGTATTTGTGTGATGCTCAGAGTGACAGGAAGCAGTTTGAGAACTCCATACGACAAATTTCTGATTGGCTGAGAGGGGCGGAGGAGCTGCTGGACTCTGGGGTGGACGGTCTGGACTATGACACGCTGGAGGGCACCCTCAGTGAATACACGGTCAGTAGTGTCTTGTGTATAACAGGCTTGTAACTGTTTTTGGGACTTGAAGACAATGTCGTAGATATATTGGGATTTTTTTCTAGAAATTGTATCCCTTTCACCTATCCCCATTTAAAAAGAAAAGATATATTGATCACTTATGAACAATGCTCATGAGATTTTTAGTGTTATATTAGTTTATTTATGGCCCCAGCTATCTATATTTTAAGTGCGGATACAACCATGAGGGGGGGGGGGGGTTCGATATATAAGTATGAAACAAAATTACTTTTCAGTTGCAATTTTTACTTGAACTGTACAATTGACTTATTTCCTTCATGTTGTGTTTCTCTAAATCTGTGTCTTGCTTTCTGTAAGGGAATTTCATTACTCTTCCACCTCCCCTCCTTCTCCCGGGAGACGGGAAAGGTAAAAGAACACCAAAAGGAGAATGATAAAAGCCAGTGAATTGAGTGGATGGACACCTACATAATACTATGATAATATAGTTTTCATGACTCTGGAAAGCTGAATTTTTATCTATGTTTAATATGTTTGTCTGCGTCACAGGACTATTTCACCGAGGCCAGCTTGTGTCAGGATGAGATGGAGCAGATCTCTGACCTGTCGGAGAGAATGATGCCCACCCTGGACGCCAACGACAGCACCACCCTGACGCAGACGTTGGCCCACATGAACAAGAAGTATGCGTCTGTCATGACCGCCTCACAGAACAAGCAGACGATGATGGAGGCCAAGGCAGCGCAGTGGAAAAAATTCCTGGTGAAGAATTATGTCTGCTTTTAGTTTTAGTTAGAGTTTTACAGTACTTGCAACACAAGTAGGTCGTATAAATGTCGGAAATTAGAGGTGCTTCCAGAGAAACATACAAAGAAGAGGAGTAGATGTATGAAGGATAGTGAATTTAATTTAGAGAAAAGAGTTCTGGTAGAAAGGATGTGTGAGAAGGGTGTCACTTGTCTCAATGTTTATACAAATGTAAGTAATAAAAGAATAAATCAAGGGGAAAAAGTAATTATTTTAACAAATCAGTCTTGATAAAAGGGCAAGAGCTTTGTCTGGGAGTTGATGCCCTATTCCCCTCATTTCATATTTATTACAAGTTGAAAGAGGGAGGAGATAATTTATTCGTGAGGGTCAGCAGGTTGGGGCATCAGAAAAACGAATGTCCATTGTGCTTTACCTAATTATAATAAACAACTGGATCATTCATTATTCCCCCAGGAGAATCTTTCTCAAATAAATGGGAGACTGGACACTCTCGAGTCAGAATGGGCTGAGGTAGACAAGAACACAGATGCCAGTCCTGATGCCGTCCAGATACATTTGGAACTGGTCAAGGTGAGATTTCATTCTGTGTTATGTTATATTTTTTACCTAGAAAGTGTTTGGTGAATGGTCTGTGTTTTCCTTTTGTACATCTCTACAGTGTTAAGATCCCAGTCCTACCCGACTAGAAAATTTTGTGTTTTGTTCAAAGTGGTTAACAGAGTACAAGACAACTCCATTTTTTATCTGCTTACTTGATGTTATATCTGTAACCTTGAGCTGTTATCGAGATAAGCAACACTCATGAGACATTATATATTATCATTATTATAGCACTTTCCCAGCCTTTGCTTTTTTGGATTCACAAGAAATGATTGTCCAGAAATACCTCTCTTTAAATAATACTTTACAATCTACATTTGAAAGAAGAATGTCCACTTCAAATACAAGATACTCTCTATTTTTGTAAATTGCATAGTCTCAAGCAAAATGTAGATATGGAAAAATTAAGTATGTTGTTACAGAGACACTGACTTTGAAAGGGCATGTTATCAGTTCAGAAGTACAGCAATAGATTACGGTGTGGGGCACAGGGTTCGAATCTGAGTCTAAAGCTGAATTTAGGTTGTGTGTCATTTGAGAAAATTGGTATTTGAAGCTTTCTTTCTCTTTTCTTTTTCTTTTTTAAAAATAATACCACATTTTGACAAAAGTGAGTAATACTAAATCAAGCTCAAGGTCAATTTTTTTTCATCTCTCACCAGACATTCCTGGAACATGCAGAGAGCAGTCGCCCTCTGGTGGATGACCTCAACGAAACTGCCAGGGACCTGGAACGCACCGGTCACTTCAACAGCCGAACTGTCATCTCCAGACTGATCACATCGGTCAACCACAGATGGGATAACTTAACAGGCCAAGCTGAGGCTAGGGTAGTGTCCCTTGAGGTAATTGTCCATTGCAAATACAGCTTCACCTTTAGACCAATTCTTTTTTTTATTAATTTTCTATACTGTCAATTGTTGTACAAAGGAGATGGATTTCGTTTTCAAGTCAATGTTGCAGAGAATGATTCTATAATAGAATAAATTTAACTTTTTCCATCTTTCATTACTTATCCTCAGGAGCTAAAAGTGCTCTCTCTACTGCTTCATGCATATTGGTCTTTTGCTTTCACCTGAGGTGGTCATGGCTATTATATTGTATTAAAAAACTGCTTGTAAGCATGTAGAGTCAGTTATGATTGTTGGTCAGTTGGCAAGACCTGCTGTTTTACAGGTAGAATTGAGAGCGTACGACTAGCTTATTATATGGCTAAAATCTGTGATTTTAATGAAAGAGAGTTAGACATTGGGGATTTTCTGTCAGAGTTGTGTATTTTACTGTTCTCTGAGTCAGAATTTAAATGATAATTCTTGTACATTCCAAACATTTTCAGGAGATTGAGGGCCAATGGGGCGACATTACAGCTATGATGTCATCAGTGCAGACACTGGTCCAGGAATCGGAGACAAGACTTATGCTTATCTCCCCCTGCAAACCCACCCAGGAAGAACTACGGAGAGAATTGGACACCCTAAGGGTGAGCTTTGTCTGTTTTTGACATAATTGTTGTCTTATCAGTCTGATATCAGACAAAGCCTGGGCTGTTGTTGTTTTTTGGGGGGTTTTTTGGGGGGGAGGCTTTTGTTTTTTTGTTTAAAGAAACAAATTGTTGTTTACAATTTTTACTTAAAATACCATTTATAGCTGTTAAGAGGGCATGACAGCCAATCCGAAATCTGTACATTTCTGAGTAAATCATTACTCATTTCTTTCTGTTATCTCTTCATGTCTCTTATAATGTTCCATCCAGTAACACTGGGGATCAGAAAATGCAATAAGATCATCCAAGCTTCCAAGCTTTTTCATTCGACACTGCACTTCAATTGTGTAAGAGACTGAATTATTCTCTTTGGACAAAAGCAACCAGTAATTCTTTGCTTGATCCAGAGAATGCTTTTCTTAACTAACAATATATATTTCTTTTGTTAATGTTCTCAGGAGCTGACTCAGAATCTGGAGAGAATCGAACCTCAAGTCCACCGGCTCCAGTCCTCCAGCCTGACACTACAAAGAGCGCTACCTACAGCTGAGGCTAAGATTTCTTCACAGGAACACTTCATGGTTCTGGTGGAGAAATACGAGAGGTGCGTCCGTCTTCTCACAGCTTAACGTCTCATTCCTCACAGCAACTCGATAAATGTCTTACTTCACACAACTTCACGTCCTAGTTTTACGTCTTATTCCTCATAGTTGTACATCTTATTCCTCATGTCTCATTCCTCATAGTTTCACGTCTTATTCCTCATAATTCTATGTCTTATTCCTCACAACTTTACGTCTTTTTCCTCATGTCTCATGCCTCATAGTTTTATGTCTTATTCCTCATAATTTTGCGTTTTATTCCTCACAACTTCACGTCTTATTCCTCATAGTTTCACATCTTATTCCTCATAGTTTCACATTTTATTCCTCATAGTTTCACATCTTATTCCTCATAGTTTCACATTTTATTCCTCATAGTTTCACATTTTATTCCTCATAGTTTCACATCTTATTCCTCATAGTTTCACATCTTATTCCTTACAACTGCACCTAAAAATGAATTCTTTTTATTGTTAATTTTCTATTATTCCTCATAATTTTACATCTTATTCAAGTCTTATTCCTCACATCGTCATGTCTAATTACTCATTATTCCTCACAACTTCACGTCTGTCTCCACAATGTTTCATGTCTTAATCATAACAGTTTCACCTCATAATCCATCAAAGTCTGTCTCGTCTACTCACAGCTTCACATGTATACTCTTCACTCTTCCAGCAAAGTATCTGTTTTTATCTTTTATCTTCAGACTGGTGGAAAGAGTGAAGGAGGAGACGGCCAGTGTTCAGGACGAGGTGGATGATAGAGATGGGTTCCTGTCCGAGCTGGAGCGGTCAGTGAAGTGGATGCAGGAGACTCTGGTCACTGTGAGGGGGCTGGACAGTGACGGGGGAGCCGGGGAATCCACGGATGGGCTCAGTCGGCTGAAGGTGGGTTTGTGGGTTTTTAGGTTGTGTGTGTGTGTGTGTGTGTGTGTGTGTGTGTGTGTGTGTGTGTGTGTGTGTGTGTGTGTGTGTGTGTGTGTGTGTGTGTGTGTGTGTGTGTGTGTTTATGGGTATATTGTTGTGGGTGTCTGTGTGTATGTGCATATTATGTGGATACATTAGTGTGTGTGTGTTTGTATATCGTGCATGTGAAAGAGGAGGGAATGATATGAGACGCATAAAGAAAGAGAGGAGAGACAGAGATATTAGAGAAAGAGAGAAAAACAGAGAGAGAGAGAGAGAGAGAGAGAGAGAGAGAGAGAGAGAGAGAGAGAGAGAGAGAGAGAGAGAGAGAGAGAGAGCAACGTAAAATCGTGTCATATAAAGGTTCAGTTTTTTTATGGCCACTCACTCAACCTCGTGAGGTGTTGGCTTTTTAAAAATACTTTCTATTATTCCTCATAATTTCACATCGTCAGGTCCATAAATATATATATATATATATATATATATATATATATATATATATATATATATATATATATATATATATATATATGGGTGTACTTACGAACATAAGAACATCTACCATACTTATACTGAGATGTCAAAAGATCAACTCTGACTCTTTGAACGCAAAACAGTTCTTAAATAACAAAATTCATAAGTTTAAGCTTACCTTTTAGGTATTCTATCAACTCACTTGTTTCACCAAGCAAAGACTCCTATGCCCTAGGTGAAGAATAGATGTAAAATAATATAATAGACCAAAGATTAAATCAGTACCTGCCAACCTGGACGATGATTTGGTAATTTTGTTGGGCTGTAGAAACCATCCGGCTTGTTGCATTATTCAATGTCCTACTTAGAAGCACTTTAGGTGGGTGGTAAGAAAATGTTAGCCTCTTAAAGGTGGCAAAAGTGAGTGCTAGCCTTTAAAAGGTTGAGAGGTACTAGATTAAATTATATCAGTATCGGAATGGTAACACCCTGTCCTCATTTTCGTGTACGTGCTCTGCCGTCTGCACACACCAGGTCAAGCGAGGTCACGTAGTTATTGTTATCTGAAAAAGAATCCATACACACATACCAAACAATTATGCTCTGTTTGACCGGGGGGCTTTTACTACCAACAACTTTGTGGTTAGCGGGTGCTGTGATGTGTGATTTGTCTCATTCTCTCCTATCAAACATCTTCGCCCTTATGTCTCCCCCTTCTTTCCTATGTATGATACTCTCAAGTGACGCCTCTAATCTTCTGCACTTATATGACCTATTTGTATGCAAGTGCCGTGAACCTCATACTAGGACCAAAATTAATAGTGCAAGCCACACTGTGCAATCTCTGTAAGTCTCTTCATACTGTCAGAGGATCTAGAAAATATAGGGGGAACGTTCCCGTTATTAAAAATTGTGTATGTTACGGTGTTTTAATTAATCATTTTTAGGATATATGTATTTTGTCCCCATATTTAAACATAAGTGTGTACTTTGCCGTGTTTTAATGAGTCCTTCTGGGGGTTTTATTTTCTCCCCGATATGTTTGTTCTGTCGCTTCATGGGTCGCCGTAACCAGCGGTGCAGAAAAAGGCCACAGTCGTCCTCTAGCCAATTTTTTGTACCAACTGAATTAAGCTACAAACCCAACTAGTATTGAATATTATGTGCCCCTAACATAGCACTTTCCAATCTGTTCTTATTTCTCTCGCATATACTATGCAGTGGTCTGATTGTGGGTGGTTTGTTAGTGTTACTGCTTTCTCCTTTAGCCTGTCTGTCATTTTTGTTTGTTACCTTGGTTTTTCCAACTGGTAATGATACCTTGGAGAAAAGGGGAAATGTGATTGGGGGAGGGGGGGGGTTGTGTACTTCTGTTTTACTTTTTTTTTTAACTTAAATAAACAATCCGATCATTGGTAAAAACTCATCATTGTGCCGTTTTTATCGTAACCATTATCCCAAACCTACCTGTCGGGCTTTCATTTACCTGACGACTCATCATTCCTCTCTTTACTGACGCCCATGTTTACATACAGACAAAACTCTAGTTTGAAATAGTCGATGCTTGTCCATCAAATACTCCAGATTCCCGCTTTTGCACACAAGTATATGACTGCGATTTTTTTAAAACATCAAACAGCATACCTGTGAAGTGCACAGTTTCGCATCTTTTTCAGCTCCCACTGTGGTATTTCGTGATTAATACAACCATCACTTGTTAGGTGAATGGCATGAACATGGCCAAAGTTTTATACGTTTTAGATGTGTTTCCTGTGGAAGTGAAGTGTGTTGGACTTTGTCTATGTAGAAGCGACGAGTGATTGTTTTGTGGCCTTTGTGATTTGTGGTGATAATATTATCTACTTCTCATCGTGATTATCCAGGGCGTTGAAATGTTTTTGAATTTTTTAAAATATGCTTTCGATTATTGTAAAATTTGGGGTTTGTTCTAGGACACACCGCCTATTATAGCTGTCTTCTTATTTTGAGGGAAAATTAGTGGTCACCTTCAAACGTGTGGTTAGGGTGCCGAAAAATATCTTCTCAACAAAGATACGAACGCTTAGATTTATTATCTCAAATAATATCCTTTCGTCGTGATCCCACAAATACTGTTTCATTATCCAAATTGCTCTGTGAATCGGCATAGGGCCTACACCCACACAGTTTGTGTCAGATGTCACGATGTGGCCAATAATGACGTTTATTTGTATCATTCTATGCATGTATTGCTGTCCTGAAGGCGAGTAGAGTTGTCTATGCTATGAGTGTGTAATGTGTGTGCACTCGCTAATGTGGGGCTACATTCTTGACATGATCTTGACGAATTTGAAGAAATCCGTGGTTGGACTGCGTGGAAATGTTTGGAGGGTTTATATAAATTTTCAAACAGGTATAAAAGCTAATAATAAGGAATGTTCTAAGTAGGTCACTCCGCGTGACACAATGTGCTCAGGGATTGAACCAAGTCTGTTACTAAGATAGTTTTCAGTATTGTTGTTGTTGTTGTTGTTGTTGTTGCTGCTGCTGCTGCTGCTGCTGCTGCTGCTGCTGCTGCTGCTGATGATGATGATGATGATGATGATGATGATGATGATGATGATGATGGTGATGATGATGATGATGATGATGATGATGATGATGATACTGCTGCTGCTGTTTTTGTAAGTGGTTTGCTCCCTCCTTCCTATCAAACATCTATCGTCCTTATATCTCACCCTTCTTATCTTTTTCACCTGCATTTCTGTTGTTTATGAGAAATTCGTTAATTTAGACCCTGTCTTTCAGATATATATTATTTAACCGTTCTTTCCATCAGGTATATGAGCAAGACTTCAACTCGCACGTGCAGCAAACCAGTCTGTCGGAGCAGTCCAGGCGTGAGAAGTACGCCGACCAGGGAAGGGAACTCCCGTCCGACATGGCGGACAAGCTGGTGGAGTTACACGGTCTTGAAGAAGAGTTGAGGGCGGCGCTGAAGGAGAAAGAGGAGGAGCTTGTGCACCTGAAGGCGGAGCGTGCCGAGTACAGGGCGTTACTGCAACGTGTCTCCGGCTGGCTACATCGGACCGACATTCTGCTGCAGGAGAGAGTGGTGGACATCCCAGTGGCCAGACAGGCTCATGAGGTAAGACTCTGTGAATACTGTCCTACAAGAGTACAACTGTCCGTCATTATAATCATACTTGGTCGCTTTTAAGCACAAGGGGGCTATCCCGAAAAAATGCTGTTTTGGAAAATCGAAGATAAAGCTTTTGGATCCTTTTTCAGTTTCTTTAAAACACAAGGAGAGTTTTCTCTATTACCAGACAAATATACACACCAATGAAACCAAACTTCTCCTACAGGTAGGGCAATGCCCACTTTTGGTGTAGGTCAAGATTTCTGGAAACCCCACAAATCTAGGTTAGCCCGCTTGTCCTTAAAAGTGACCATTTATATGTCTACATAACCAGTCAAAGAGAGCGAGTGGTGCAGCAATTGTTTTTCAAAATCTGAGCTTTTTAAGCGATGACTGTTGCTTGTCTTATTCAAACGTTGATGTTTCGTACTCCCCTTGGATGAAGTTCTGTTCTTGCCAACCTGAGCAATACCGACCACTAGTGGGCGATTTGGTCATTTTGGTGGGCAGTGGGGATGCGACCACCCGGGCAGTGTTGTTTTATGCCTCGCTTGGAAATACCACACCACGCCACATAACGCCATGCCACCCCACATCACGCCACATAACGCCACGCCACCCCACATCACACCACACCAAGCCACGCCACCCCACATCACACCACG